TGTTTGTTTGTCTAATTTTGTTTTTGAATTGTTCACATGGCAACTTTGTTTCCCATACCAATTATATATGTATGTAATCACCACAACATCATATAAATGGTTGGCTCATGGTATTTTTGCCATGCACACATTTATTATATGCACCATGGCAATTTTAGTAATTTGACCATGACATGTTTACCAATGAGAATATCATGGTAGTTTTATTTGTGGTATCGTGCAATTTTTATTCGTAAGAGGGTGGCAGTTTTTAAAATTAGGCTAGCAGGTCAACACTTTTGGCCACGATTTGTTATTTTTTACCTTCGTCTCAACTTTTTTGCCATGTCTTCAACTTGTTGCCATGGGAAGATTGCCATGATCTTGTTAGGTAAAAAAACGTGTTAATAGTTTTGATGTTTTTTCCATGTCTCAAAAAGGGTAATGCTTTTAAGAAAATTGTTATAGTTCTTTTTGTGTTTAAGTTGCCATGCATTTGTACTATTTTCTTCTTCTAAATTTGCCATCAATTTTTTTGTATGTTCCATAGAAATTTCTGCCATCCATTTTTAAAAGAAACAAATTCCTTAATTCTGCTTTTGTGTCCATTACAATTATTTTGCCAAAAGTTACCATGTTTTCTTTTGGAGAATAAATTCCTAAGCTGTCATGCATTTCTATCATAGGTATCATAGCATTTTTATCATGCAGATCGTGGCAAATTTACTTATTAGACCATGGCAGTTTAAACATATGCAGAATGACAATTTTATTTGTTTCAGACCATGACATTTTTATGATATGTAGCATGGCATTTTTAATAATTAGAACCTTGGCATTTTTCATCATTTGTATAGCATGTCATTTTTATCATATGTAGCATGTCATTTTGTTAATTAGACCATGACATCTTTTATAATTGTAGGAGTGCATTTTTTTATTAATTAGAACATGCATTTTTATAATTTATAGCATGGCATTTTTAATAATTAGATAATGACATTTTTATTAGTTAGACCATGGCCCTTTTATCATTTTGTAGAATGGCATTTTTTATTAGAGTATGACATTTTTATTAAATGGTCAATGCAATTTTATATTATTGTTTCATATGGCAATACACAATTAATGGACCATGGCATTTTTATCATTTTGTAGCATGACATTTTTATTAGACCGTGACATTTTTATTAAATTGTCAGTGGCCATTTTATGTTCTGTTGCATATGACATTAAAAAACTAAATGCACCATGACATTTTTATCATTTTGTAGCATGTCATTTTTTTATTAAACTATCGCATTGTTATTAAATGGTCAATGGCAATTTTATGTTTTGTTGCATTGCAACTTTTGTGGTGATTGATGATTTTAGGAGCCATCCACTCTAATCTGACGGATTTCTCAGATCTAGTGGCCAGAAAATATCAGAGTTGAAGTTACATGAAAGTACAATTTGTAGCTCGCCAATCACTGTAAAACAACTCTTGTTGCATAGGGTAAAAAAAGTTAATGGACAATGGCAATTTTAAATTAGTTTGCACATGGCAACATAGGAGAAAATGCACATGGCAATTTAATTTTTGTCATGCTCCATAAGAGAAATGTTTTTTTTTGGACATGAACATGACAAAATAATTGTTTTTTATTTTGTACAAATATTGCATTTATCAATTGAAATCATTATTTTGGTATGGTCCTTAAGAGAAAATGTTCTATTACATGGCAAAATGTCACACAATTTTATGTACTACTCAAAACATGACATTTTTTAGAGAAAATTTTGCACTTATTAGTTCTCATGGCATTTTTCGGAATTTGTACTTCACATGGCAGTTTTGGGAATTTTTTTTCGTACAATCATGGTAATTTTTGTGATATCATCATGGCAATTCTTTCCTATAATCATGGTAATTTTTGTGATATCATCATGGCCATTTACCCACCTTCTCGGCATCTCGTTTAAGTTCTGGTATTTTTTACTGCCACCTGAAACGAGGCTTTTCCAGTCTGGCCTTTTTAAGGCCTGATGTTCCCTCATCATTGCGTCTTCCCGTACGTCAAGAGGGTCACTCTGTGAGGAATTACTCCCTCTGTTTCTAGATATAAGTTTTTACAGAGATTTCACTATGAACTACATACAGAGCAAAATGAGTGAATCTGCAATCTAAAATACATCTACATACATCCGTATGTGGTTTATAATGAAATCTCTACAAAGACTTATATTTAGAAACGGAGGAAGTACTAGCGAATGAGAAGGTTAGCTGGTTTCTTCCCTCGTTGGCGCCGAATGGATCTTATAATTTAGTACCCTATATCACATGTTTTGCTAGTCAAATTGAAGACCTAAAAGTCCAAGCCCCCCTGCAAAGTAAGATGAGGTGATTTTCGTTTCATAACTCAAATTCATGGTCAAAGCTTGACCAAAATATGAGAAAGGTTATTTGTTATCTGAGACAATACTAAAATGTTAAAGTGGTCATCAAGCAAAGCTTAATCAGATGCACTGAACCATAAACATAAGCAAAATTTTAGATGGCTCTCATCTGCAGACGAGACACACAGGCAAGGCAGCAGCTAGCAGTTCCCGAGAACGGATAGGAACGATAGCCAGGTCAAGGAAACGGCGTCGTCTTCCACTTCTGATTTGCGCCGCTGTGGGACTGGAACAAGATGACGGGCGTCCCATCATGCGCCCCGGTGGTCTCGCCCTCCGACGCATCGAGGACGTACCCGAGGTTGCTGACGCTGCGGATGCAATGGAACCCTTCCCTAAGATCGCCGCTCGTCGTCCACAGCAGCGCGACGTCCACCGAGTCCAGGCTGTAGCTGACGACTTCAACCTTCTGGTCGCCGTGGCAGCGCCTCAGTGCCTTCCCGGTGGCCTTGTTCACCAGCGCGAACTGTTGGAGCTGACTCTCTCAACTCCCTTCTTCCCTCATGGCTGTTTCACACAACCCACACACACGAGACAATGGAGAAGACGATATTTGGTGAGCTGCCGTATCACACAGCCAAGCCCTTTTCTTCTCTCTATTCTCTTAACTGCTAAACAAATATGCTCTCTTTAAGTACACAAACGCATGCACTAACCAGCCGCTACTCTGGGCAACAAACTCCCACTAACCCATGCATGCACTAACGCACTACCCATGACTATCTTACTCCTGGAATCTCTCCAGCGGCCACATGACTCGGCCATACAACTGAATACTTATGCATGCTAACAAACTAATGATGACTCAGCCAGATCAGCCGGCTCAACTTGGCCATGCAGCTCGTCACGCTTCACCTGCTCACTGCTCGCCGCTTCACACGACGTTGCCGCGTCACACGGCACTACCGCACCGCATCACACGGTCGGATGGCATCTCGCTGCAGCCATGACTTTGCCGGAACAGTCCTAATCTAAACTACATGCAAGACTGAAATAAACATGGAGATACAAAATATCAAGATTAAAGCTAACACGAACGAGCTGCGCCCCTCCTCGTCCGTCACGCGCCCGGTGTTCCGGAAGCTCTGCACCAAAGCCTACGTAGAAGAAGACAAGTGATAACAACACGCCGTGCTAAATGTAGAAGACTCGTAGGAGCACGAAGGAGCAAGCAAAAGCAGGGCAGGAACTGACCTGTGTGTCGTCGTCCAGGTCGGTGCGCGCGAGGATGGCGGCAACGTCGCGGATGGCGAGGCTGAGCTTGTCGTTGCACTCGGACGAGACCCGCACAGGCGGTCCACCCCCCGCCGGCGCGTCGGCGATCCGCCAGAGCTGGTTGTGGCCGTGGTTCCAGCGGAAGAGGATGAGCCGCGTGCCGTCGCGCGCACCGCCGAACTGCGGGATCGCCTTCTCTGCGTCAAATATGTAATCCATGTTATTGACCATGTGGATTAGCCAGTAGCCTCCGCCCACGTCCCCGGTCTCTCCGCCAACAGGACCGACTCGTCGAGGTACCCCCGGTTGAACCGGATGGCTCTGACGGGCAGATTGTAGCCGAGGGAGTGCTTCAGCGCGTCTCCGGTGGCCTTGTTGACGAGAGCGAACGCCGGGTTGCCGGCCTCGTCCTTGACGCCGCCGGCGTACATCACGTCCTTCTGCCAGCGCTGCATCGAACGTGGGGAGAATGCACGAGACCGGCTTTTCTACCATGCACGGGAGGTACCGTGCATGGCTGAGGCATTGATGCATTTATGGATCCCTGCCACTTTGTTCACTAAGATGTTTGATATTATTATTTTTATCTCCATACTCTCATATCACTCAATGTTGTGTCAGAAATGTTACAGATATTTCTCCAAAAAATAATGTTACAGTTATGTGCGTCATCATCAAGCTTGCACAATGCAACTACTCGTCTACTCCTTCCACAAACACATGCATTACAATATAAAGGTACTAAAAAATTCAAATGTTTTATTATGATAAAAAAAAGCAATCATACTATCTCACTGTGGCGAGATCGTATCATAATGTTTCGTTCTATGTCCATACATTTAAAAGTTAATAAGCACTCGTTCTCATCAAGTTTTACGAGGTTGTTTTTCGTGTTCTAGGTTGCATCATTATGTTTCATAGAGTTTCATCATGTTTCAGAATATGAATTTTAAAACTTGTGAACATATATTTTGTTTCAAAGTCCTAATCGCAAGGAAATCAAAAATATAAACCGATCGTAAACTGAAACTGTGATTCAAAAAATAAAATAAATAGACTAAAGTTTTGAAATCATATGAAAAAGTAGAGATGGGTGAGGTACTATTGTGCGTGAGAGATATAGAGAGGTTACTAGTGGTCAACGAATGAAAAAACCGTAATGCATAATTTGTGACTCATTAATGTGTGGGGACCAGTATGCATGGATCCTCATCTCCAAGATAATGCACGGCTGAGCCATGCACGGGATCTCCCGTGCATGGTAGAATCTCTTTTCTCGAGAAGAGACCGGCTTTTCTACCATGCACAAAGGTCACACAGGAGTAGGACTGTAGTACACAGGAAAGAGGAGGAAGCAGACGCTGAGAAGGTAGACTGCCTGGCGGTCATCGCTGGGGTCGGCGGCGGCGAGGACGACTTCGCCGTCGACGAGGGCGAGGCTGAGGTCGTCGGAGGCGCGGCAGTGGATCCGGAACGTGTAGGCCATGGCTACGAAGTACTGTCCGTGCTGTCGATCGTGTGGTGTGGGATTTGATGATTACTCGCGCTCCAAATAAGTGAAAAATGCCATGAGAACTTCAAATGGCACCATCGATGTTCGACATTCTGGAATAAATTCTAGAGTGGCATAAAGTGGATAAGTTCGTGTCCCCATAATTGCATTTTTCTCCGGGAGGGAGTATCGTTCGTTCGAATTCGTCTTCTCGGTAGTGCCAGCAGGTTTGCAGGTGTGGGTCCGCTGCTGCGCATCAACTTCCTTCGCTCTTTCTTTCGTGCGTGTTTGCCTCTTCATCATCATTCATCATTGAAAAAGAAATTCAAAGTTAGCTGCCTTGGATAGGAATATAAAAGATACTCCCTTTGTAAAGAAATATAGGAGTGTTTAGATCACTACATTTCTTTACAGAGGGAGTAGATTACCATCGTGGGGACTTGAACCCGGGTCTCTATCCGGCTCTATCCGGCAAATATGACTTTTTTTAGTGAAAAATGACTTTTAAGTGTTTTCGTTTGCATTTGTGTTTACTTATTCATTCCGAAATGACATCCAACTACGTCAGGCCGGCTCAGGGAGGAGCGGCAGCGGCGGCGCGCGCAGCGGCACGGTTTGGAGGTTGAAGACGAAGGACATCTCAAGGATTTCGTTGCAATTTTCCTTTTTGTTGGGATGTTATCCGGTGTTTCTTTTAATGTCAGGGTCCTTTTTGCAAAAAGAAAGAAATGACTTTTTGAACGCGCTCTAATGACAAGTGATTAATTACACTTATTTGTTAACATCACATATTAACATGCATGCAAATGACATGAACAAACATATGGAACCATGCAGAAACTACAACCACTTTATTCTCCAGTCTAGAGGCTAATAGTTCTTATTAGTTTTGCAAGTTAACAAATAAGAGTTCAAATACAAATATTGAAGGAGTCATCCTATAAATTCAATATTAAAAAATATAATTCACAAAAACTCAAAGACACTAAACTATGTAGATTTGACTAAATCTCGGCATGGTGTAGGCATTCCTAACATATAATGGGTAAACCTATGTTTTGTGGCCTCATACATGTATCGACAACTTCTTAAGTTGACTACTTCAAACAACCATAGCATTAACTTCATATCGGATCCCATAGTTTGCAGTAAGACATTTACAACTACGACCAAGATAACAACATGGTCATGCTATGAATTCATGCCATGCACTAAAATATGAAAAAGACAAGTGGAATCAACTTAAATGTATTTTTGAATGACCAATAAATAGAAACCGAATGTAAGTTTATACTTTCTTCCAAATAATATGATAAATCCCAATGTTAACATGCATCCAAATTGTGGAAAGGCTCCCTCACTTGCATGTGTATAAGGGTGGTGTAAGTTGGATATAGGTACTACATAGCTTGAGCTCAATTTTGGTTTTCAATATTGTTGTGACCTATCCTAACACAAACAAAGAGAAATTCCTCATGGTCCACCCCTTTTGAAGCCGAACAAATGGCAAGACGGCATGGGGCCCAGGGATCAGGGTTTCGTCCGAAACAGTGCGGGCTAGGATATAGTCAAATCTTTACGTATTATTTACCTTGGATAGTGTCGGTCAATTCATCAATCTTGGCAGTCAGCTCATCGTTCATCTCCTCAGAGATGGAGTTCACCTTTCTTCTAGTTTTCTTGCAAGTCATAAAGTAGTTTCTTAGCTTATTCAATTGGTCTTCCCATGATGATTCCTCCTACAGCTGTGTCTAACATGGATTTATGGATTTTGACATGGGGTTAAGGACATTACAAAATATATGAATAATAAGTCACTTTTTTCACACACCCCATGGTTCGGGAAGTTTCTTATGGCCTCCTTCATGCGGTCCCATGCAGGTGCTAGTGCCTCGCGATCTTCCTGCTTAAAACCTGCAATCTGCGATCGTAGTTGCATTATGTTTGTATGGGCAAAACATAGACATAAACATGTTTCAATATAAATTGCACGAAGTTATAATTCCTATAGGCAAAGCTAGAAGTAATTATTTCCTTTTTATTTTAAATAAAAAGAAAATAGAGCAACTTCAAAGTGTCAGGTTCATAATCTTTAATATGTGGCATGTCACACAGTTCAGTAAAAGTATGCAAATGCATACCGACATCTTTGAATGTAGAGCCTCAAAATTGGTTTTGTTGAACCACAATAGCAAAATAGGGCTTAATTTCAAATTGTTTAGTAGCAACATTGAGTAATGTGGTTGGTGCACTCATAAAGTTCTCATTGGGAGTTGCAAACTCTCCGAGTTTCTTAGCCATGCTATTTTTTGGGTTTTTGATTGAAACAAGAACTAGAAAAAAATGGAGACAAAAAGAAAAACAGAAAAAGAACTGAAACAAAACAAGAACTCTACTCCAATGACTATTGACAGCCCTTCCCGACAATGTCACACAAAAACATGGTTGATGACCACTTGTGATCCGGTTTCGAATTGCAGATAGTCATCTTACATTTTCCCCAAGGAGTGATCTTGGGCATTGAACCCACGGGAGGATGTGCTTATGACAAAGATTCAAACAAGATATTGTTCTCGTAAAATTGTCTAGGGTTCATACCTTTTAAACAACCTTTTAGATGTAAACAATAATATTGAAATAGGCATAGGCGTGAGGACTTACATACAATCTTGTACTTGTGAGCGGGGCCTTGTCTTGGTCTACAACTGGCTCTGGCAGACACCCGTTACATGTTCTCATGACACGATGAAGTGGGGGATGTGTCCAAAGTACGTAACGACTAGTTCATGAAATGAATTGAGAGTCAGCTGCCCAACTTTGTAACTCACCTCCTGTTTAAGTGCAACAAAGTGGCCGAGTTATGGCGCCTTTTTGGACGAGATTACAAAGAGGGCATGCAACGTCGACATGGCAGGTGAAGCTGTACTAGACTTTTTTTATTCAAACTCCTGTACAAGACCTTGGTTTTCTCGGTCAGAATAATATACATGAAATAATAGCCATCTCGTCTTGGTACCTTTGGTAGGAAAGAAGGCAAATTGCCCATGGTGAGCAAACACATAATTCTAATCAAATAGAATCAACCATCAAAGCTTTAACAACGAATTGTGTCCCCTCATTGGATCCAAAGGAAACGACAAAGAAAGATGGGTGGCTGAAACTACCAGCTGGTTTTGTCAAACTTAATTTGGACGCAAATTTTGATCAAGACCTCGTAAAAGGTGCATCTAGACCTGTCTGTTGTGATTCATCTAGTAATTTCCTAACTGTAGCTAACTGGAAGATCGACGTCTTCATGGATGTACTATCTGCTGAAGCTATTGTTGGAAATATGAGCAATTTACCATATGATTTTATTAATGGAAATACTAGATAAAGCATGGCTAAAATAGCAGAGATAAAGCAAGTCATGCGATCTGACAGAGAGAAGGTAAATAACATCTGCAAATATGAACTAGAACCGAACAAATCTAGAGCAGAGAGTAGAAGCAGGAACTGTGATAGGACCTCTAAGAGGAAAAACAAGAACACATACGGGACAGCAGCAGCAACAGTAGCACTGGACTTGGGGTTGGTGTCCTCGGTAGCCATGTCGTCGAGGAGGTTGTCGACGCCGGGGAAGAAGTCGTCGTCGGGGAAGTAGTCATCGGAGTCCTGGGCGTCCGTGACGAAGATGTCAGTAGTCGTGTTGTGCGCTTCCCAAAAACCTTATCACCATTCTCTCGTACAGGACTCAAAG